GACTTTTCCCCCTTTTTCCCCGAAATAAAATTCCCAGAAAAACCTTTCCCTCAGTTTCTCGGCGTCCAAACACCCGTCCCCAACCCCAAATCCCTAATGGCGACGATCAGCCTCCGCAAGAGCAACACCCGGCTTCCCCCGGAGGTGAACCGCGTGCTGTACGTGAGGAACCTTCCCTTCAACATCTCCAGCGAAGAGATGTACGACATCTTCGGCAAGTACGGAGCGATTCGCCAGATCCGAATTGGTACGAACAAGGACACTCGCGGTACGGCCTTCGTGGTGTACGAGGACATCTACGACGCCAAGACGGCGGTCGACCACCTCTCCGGGTTCAACGTCGCGAACCGGTACCTGATCGTGCTCTACTATCAGCAGGCCAAGATGAGCAAGAAGTTCGATCAGAAGAAGAAGGAGGAGGAGATCGCTAGGATGCAAGAGAAGTACGGAGTCTCCACTAAAGATAAGTAATCGCTGGACTCGCTCGGAGAATCTCATATTTTGATTTCCCTGAGTTCTAGGTCGTGCGAGTTTGGATTGGAAAAATTGAATTTTGTAACCCTAGAATTTGGGATTCTGAGGACTTGTTATCTTTAACATAGTTGATTATATGCATATTTTTTAATGAAATTAGCGAGAGTGGTCCTCTTTCTGTTTCTTCTGATCAGTCATTAGTAGATTGTTACATAACTTGTGCTAAGTTGCTTGAATGCTTAGATTGTGTAGCTTTGTGGATGATATAGAAATATGTGTTATCATTTCTTTTTTTTTTTTTTTTTTTCGGGTTTGTTGTGTTTCCCGTTGCATTGCTAAATGCTTGAAAATCTGGAGCTTTTATGGTACTTGGAATAATTGATATTAGTTCTGTCCGTTCATAACTTGTGGTCTTTCTTTCTTCTTCCTTTTCTCCTCAAATCTTTTTGTTTATCTTTTTAGGTTTGAACTAAAATTATGGAGCTTGCCTGCACTTAACTATGTATCTATGGAACTTACCTATAACAGTTTTGATTGTTTAGATTAAGTTATCTCTTATTCCCTGCAGTATTGGTATTTCGGTTGATGACCTGTTTTTTGCTAGTTCACTTGGCTCATTCTCTTTTCTGCTCGAGTTTAGACTTCCTTTGAGCCAAATGGGGAACCTTCAAAAACCCAGAAAAGCCAATGCCTTTAGGTAGAACAGAGACGGAAGGATAAGTTTTGTTAAAGTGAGAGATATCCTATTTACTAAAGGTAAGGAGAGTGTTTTCTTCCAAGTAAAAGAGAGTTTCCTTCAACAGCACAAGAAAGAAAGATCAATTGCAGTTCCTATCAACGGCCGCCTAGCCTTCTTCATTATGAGATCTATACTGTAGTCAGAGCTGAGTTCCTAGACGGGGTTCATGGTAAGGTGCGACAAACCTACGTTTGGCTAGGCATTCCTTTTAGGGATATTGAGGGTGCTATGAAATTCATATGCTTTACATTTTTTTTTAGTTTGATAAATTTTTTTGCTTTTATCCTGTAGATTTTGTTCTTGGTATGAATAGGAACCTTCAACGAAAGACCAATCCTTTTCTTTGACATTTTTGAAAGTAAATGATCTTCCTCCATCTTCGCTTCGCCAATCTTCTCCTTTCTTTCTCCCTTCTTTCTTCATCTTGTTTTCCTCTCTTTATGCTTCTTTTCACTGTCCTAGAGAATTTGGTGTCAGAAAAATTGGCTGCAATTCTTGAATGTATCACAAACCCCGATAAAGAGCTTGCTTCTGTTCTCAATTGATGCAAATGATGGATCATCTGATTTTTTTTTTTCAACCTTTGATAGACAAAATACCAGACTGACTTTGAAAAAAAAAAAAAAATGACGACAAAATTTTATTAAAGAAAAAATGGGGAGAAACATTACCACAAAGAAGGAATACCAGACTGACTTTGCTGATTTAGGGTTGTTTGATACTGTTAAACAGGGGCTAAGCTTACCTTGTAAAGGCTATGTTCTAAATGGAACTGGAGGACTAATGACTTGTATTGGTAACCTGTTGCAATACGTAAAGCTAGCAGGAAAACTGACTTTTAGGGCCCTAGAAGTCTGTTTCATGATTGGTAAGGCTTGTGGTCAGCTGAAGCTTTCAAATTGCTATTTTTTCTT